ACACGATGAATACAGTGTTGGGCGGCTTCTGATTGGTCAACCTCCCATTGGTCGACTATAAAGGAAATAAGTCATTCTGACTCGCTCACTAGTTATACCCATATACCCAAAAAACCGTAACAAGAGTTTGGGAGCACCTATATATACATAATTCATAACAATTTGTGACTAGATTCTTAGGTAAATGAAAAGGGGCGTCTATTTTAAATAAGAAATACCAAGGAGATTAACGTTGTTATTTCATAAATGTTTGTGTTTTAAGGATCTAGGTGTCAAGAGCTCACCACAGATTCGTTTTCTTATCTGAAAATAGAATTTCTAGGAAAGATAGTGGAGTGGTTTCCCTGTTTCCATCTCCACATTTTGGAATTCAGAATTTTTCCTTCTCTTAGACTTCTTCCAACCTTTTATAAGCACATGGATAAAAAATTAGACTTAAGGACAATTAGAAGAAAAGAATCTTTAGACAGAAATTCTGTTAGGCAAGAAAAAATATAGAAGTTAGGATTGTGGTTAAGTGCTAGGTTTCATTCCGTCTTTACCAATAGCCATCAGAGATGAGAACAACAACAATCAGGATAATAATAGCATCTCCCTATGGTGCAAAAAAATTTCTTTTTTCATATATCTTTCCTTGAATTTGATTTGATTTCAATGCTCATTGGGTTCTATGTTCTTCATTTTTTTAAAAAAAAAAAAAGGCAAACAAGGAAGTTTGAAACGGGGAGGGGGGCAAACAAGAAGAAAGAATGAAAGAAAACGGAGGGGCAAGAAGAAAGAATGAAAGCAAAAAACGGAATATTTTTTCGGAAGAAAAATCAATGAAAGAAATTCTCGAAGGGATACACGAGAAGAACTAATAGATAAATACAAGCTATCTGTTTCTCTATCGAGAAGAAAAGAATGAAAGAAAACAAGGGGGCTAAAAGTGAGAAGAAGGAATGAAAAAAAGTGCCAGGGGGTTTGTTTTATCTAAAATGAAAAGCTTAAATATCCGCACGGAATGACGGGAAAGAAAGCTCTTGTGGGGGGAAAATGAGAAGAAGGAATGAAACAAAATGGGGCAGGGGGGGAAGAGAAGAAGGAATGAAAGGTTCTTTGGGCGGGGGGGAATATGAAGAAGGAATGAAATTCCGAGGGTCATCTATTAAAGAAGAAGGAATGAAAGAAAACGGGGCTGGTATTAACAAGCGGTAAGGAATGAAGGAAAACGGGGCAGGGGGGACGTTGCTTAAGGAATGAAAGAAAACAGGGGGGGGGGGTTGTTTCAACGAATGAAATGGCCGTGGGGCAGTCAAAAATGAGAAGAACAGGAATGAAAGAAACCGGGGCAGGGGGGGGGACGAGAAGAAGGAATGAAAAGAAAACGGGGCAAGGGGGGCTTAAAGAAGGAATGAAAGAAAACTGGTGTTTCAACGTGATAAATCCAGTTTGAGCCACTTTTTTTCGAGTTGGCTGGGATCCAAACGAGAACAAAGAAGTTAACAATGGGGGAATTCTTTCACGAAAAAAAAAAAGAGTTTAATATTATAACAGAAAAATGTTTTACAAGATAATTCATCATTTACTCCTATAAGACTTGAAAGCCCAAGGATACCCCATATAATTTGTACCTGCAATTTAATAAACTTAGAAAAGTTTTTAACAGACGATGTAAATTTTGTACTTGAAATTCGAGCAAACAACAGAATAGCAGTCAGGCATTCGAAAAACTAAGCAAAGTATTGAGAAACAGGAAAAAAATTATTTGAAACAAAAAAGCTTGTGCTGAACAACTATGCTGTATGGATACTCCGATATGGCAATGAATGATGGACAATTTAGGATGTGATGAAGAACAGACCTGTCCCAACAGAACTCTTTTTGTCTCCCATTACCTGTTCTAAGATATCAACGTAAGAACTTGTCAGTTTGCTGAATAGGTTGAAATAAAATGGAAATGAAATTTTAATTTTTAGAATCAGAAAGTGACATTTAAAATCTAGAGAAATATAATAGTGAAAGAAGTCAGTGTGGTAGCATTGGTACTCAGTGGGAGATATTGAAGTGGCAATTTGGCACTCACAGAAGTATGGAAGGCAATTTGGTCCTCAATGTACATGGTTGAAGGTAATGGTGGTGGTGGTACTATAGTAAGATATTGAGGCAATTTGTACTCACCGTCACATATTGAAGGTAATTTGGAACTCACTGGAGATATTGAAGGCAATTTGGTACTAGTAGTGATATTGATGGCAATTTGGTACTCAGGAGATATTGAAGGTAATTTGGTACTCACAGGAGATATTGAAGGCAATTTGGTACTCACAGGAGATATTGAAGGCAATTTGTTATCACAGGAGATATTGAAGGCAATTTGGTACTCATGGTGGATATTGAAGGCAATTGGTACTCACCGTACATATTGAAGGCAATTTGGTACACGCCGTACATATTGAAGGCAATTTGGTCCTCATGGTGGACATATTGAAGCAATAGAAAAGCGAGTAAGCGACCTAATGATTTTATTTTGAATAAATAACCGAACAATAGTTGAAAATTGAAAAGGAAAACAAAATGTTTAGATTTACGAAGGATAGATGTGGTGAGCCATGGCAATCCATGTCTTGAAACAATGGTACAAAAAAAACAATGATGATGGTTTGTAGTCATAGTAGTGATGATGTTGGTAGTGGCAGTCATAGAAGTTCATTTTCGAAGTGGTGGCAGTTTGAAATTGATCATGGTTGTGGTGATCATAGAAGTGGCAGCAGTTTAAATGAAATCATAGTGGTTTGGTGATTATCGAAAGATAATAGTGTTGGTAATAGTGGTCACGCTTTTGATGATTTTAGTGATAGTAGTATTAGTAGTAGTAGTGGTGGTGGTGGCAATTATCACTGTAGTAGTAGCAGTAGTTGCAACTGATCATTACTGTTGTGGTCATCAGCTAGCAGAGACACAGTGACAGCAAGTCTCAAGATATGTTGCTTTTTTTTTTTACTAATTTTTTTGTTTGAATCTAAAGTGCTGGAAAGTAATGGGTACAACTGTCACCACACTTGGCTGTTCCATAGGCTTTAGCTTGCTTACAAAGTCTAGACATTTCCCCATCATCATCATCATCATTGTCATTATTATTATGACTAATGAGGCAGATTTTTTTTTATTGAAATGGTTCTGTTAGCTTTTTGTGGGCGCCACTTTTGGATTATTCTTGTAAAACAACAAAGGCCAAAGTTTCTTATTTCTTTTGCTATTCAACCCACAGCTGGGACGATGTCAATAGATGAATGAATAATTGTGGAAATATCTTCGATTTTGTAAAGAAAAAGAACACAAATTAATAATTTGAACTCAGTTTCTATGTCCGAATTGAAATTATTATCCAATTTGTCCCCACACAAATCAAAAATGGGACATACAGATTTCATTTTAAGGTTTTGACGCTCGAAAACTTGACATTTATCAAACTGGATGTAATTTTGATATATACATCGGATCAAATATATAACTATACATGAAAGGTATGAACATCTACTTTTCCCCTAAATATATAAATATATATCTACACCTAACTAAATATATAAATATATATCACACCAGTCTAAATATATAAATCTAATTCAAAACCTAACTAAATATATAAATATATATCTCAAGAAACATAGTTCACTAAATATATAAATATAGGTACATGTAACTTTAAATATATAAATATATATTTCACTAACTAAATATATGAATTTATTTGCTGTTCTAAAGTTTAAATATATACTGAAGGTAACTAAATATATAGAATGATGTGTTTGAATTTAAAACTAAATATATAAATATATCTGGCAACAGAACTAAATATATAAATATATAGGATACTGCGATTGAAATATATAAAAATAATGTACTGAAAGGGATTTAACTAAATATATAAATATATATCTACACCTAACTAAAATAAAAATAGGAATTGCTAACAAATACTAAATATATACATTATATTTACCATTTTTCTTCCTAATAAATATATAAATATATTATCTTCCTAAATTCAACCTTAATGAAACTTAACAAATAAATATAAATATATCCTTGCGTTTAAAACTTCCAATTTCTGTTTTGATTAGATTTTGCAAAAGGATTATTTTTCAATTATTTTACAACTCTTTAGACAAAGCAAACCTTCATTAAATTATGAGATTTAAGTGAAATAATTAGTAATTTAGTATTAATTAGCAAGTTTTAATTACGAGATACAGATATAATTAAAATAAAACATTAGTGCAGTTGGTAAAACACTAATTCCGAGAAATTTTTTTTTCCTTTTTATTTCGTATAATTTTTAGAGAGGATTGGGAGTGATGAAATTTAAGATTTTCGTTTTCTAAACAAAAGAATTTTGAAATTTTTGAACATCATATTATGTGAAGAAATAGGAAAATTCCCATTTTGAACAAAAATAAATAAATAAACCTTAATAAATAGGAGTTATGGTTAAAAGGAAATTTTCTGGACTGTGTCTTTCATCCGAAGCAAAACATATGATCATGTACATTTTTATTATCAATTTGAATATAATCATCTTTTTCATTTTCAAGAATTAATATTGCTTTCGTGCAGATTAATTTAAATAAAAACATTACAAATTTAATTTGCTTAAAATGATTTCCATAAAATGTTTATTTAACTACATGCAACATAATATAAACATATAAAAAAAAATAAATAAAAAAAAAAAAAAAAATCAGGTTTACAAAATTTTCTTCAATTTAAAATCTTTTGCTTCTATATATAAATATATTTCACAAAAGAAAAACCCGAAATTCTGTCGTTTTATTAAAAGTGTCCGATGGATGAATTGTCGTCTTCATAAGAAAAATAAAAATAATTATCTTTTAACAGATATATTTTTATTTAAATTTGAAAATAGATCTTGTTTTTAATTTTGATTTATTTTGTTTAAATGTTATTTTTTGATGGATACACGTGGCTGAGCGGTCAAGCACTTCAGATCCAATATTATGTCAGTTGTCCATAGAGTGTGCAGCTTCAAATCCTGCCGGAGGACACATATTTTTCTGACAAAATTTCTTGAATATTCAGGCTGGTAGATGTAGTTGGATAAAAAATATTGTTTAATTAAAAAACAGAGCGTCTACTCAAATATGAGTATCCATCAAAAATAACGTTTAAACAAAATAAATTAAAATAACTGTTGGATTTAATCTATTTCCTGAAAAATATATATAAATATATATTATATATACACACACACACAAGATTCAAGGATAAAAACATTTAGTTTGAAGTACTTTACAAAAAACTAAACATGTAATAGAGGATTTTTTTCTTATTTTGTCATTCAATTACCACCATTATATCTTTTTAATTTTATTAAATATTCAAAAGCTAACTTCTCTCTATTGATATACAAAATTACAAAGATTAACAATGTTGTTTCACTTTCAATAATAGTAATAATGTGTGTGTATATATATATATATATATATATATATATATATGTGTGTGTGTGTGTGTGTGTGTATATATATATATATATTATAGGTACGTGTATATAGAAAAATAGGAAAGAAACGTTAGGTTAATAATCCAGAGCTCTTTAGTACTTTTGTTTTTATTTAAAAAAAAAAAAAAAAACAGTGCTTGATACAACAGTAGAGCCTATATTATAACTATTTTTTTAAAAATATGATTCCATCCCATCGCTACATAAGAGTTCTCATGTTTCAAAAAAAAAAAACAGAAGCAAAAAACTTCAATTTCATTTATAGAAATTAAATTAAAGCAGCTAGTTCTGTTTCATCAATAAATATATGTGTGTATGTATATATATATATATATATATATATATATATATATATATATATATATGTTGTGTGTATTAATAACACAAAAGGTAAACAATAAAAAAAAAAATCAACTTTCCTTGTCAATGCACCTAATCCATAAGTATAGTTTAATACTATTGCCAGGGCTTGAAGAGGGTGCTGAAAAGTTCTTTTGTTGAATATAAAAAATCTTACTGAATATCAGCATCTCTTGTTTTGGAAGGGCTTTCTTAGGAAGGCTCAGAACTTTTCAGCATCATGCGTGTGGACACGCACGCGCGCGCATCACTTATGTGGAGGCATATTTTCATACACACACTTTGAGCTAGAAAATGGCGGTGAATTAAAACAAAAAAGAAATCACTCTAGACAACGTAAATGAAATTCAATATTAATTATTTGAGAGCTTTTCATTTGGTGTAGACTTTTAAAATCCAACAAAACATTTATTGAGCTGTCAAGTCGAAACCTAATTGCAATGTGTGTATGGATTAGAAAATGCATAATAATTTACAAATTACATTTAATAGAATGAAATTACGTCTCATTTTTGCTA